TCGTTCATTCGTTCATTCATTTCATTCTTTCATTCATTTCATTCATTCATTCATTCATTCATTCCTTTCTTTCATTCATTCCTTTCTTTCATTCATTCATTCATTCGTTCATTCATTAATTTCTTTCTTTCATTCATTCCTTTCTTTCATTCATTCCTTCCTTCCTTCATTCCTTCCTTCCTTCCTTCCTTCATTCCTTCATTCCTTCATTCCTTCATCCAGTCAGTCGGTCGATCATTCATTCATTTGTTCGTTCGTTCATTGATTCATTCTTTCTTTCCTTCATTCACCCACTCACTCATTCACTCACTCATTCAATCATTCACTCGCACAGTCGAGCACTCCCATACTCCCGCATCCCAAAACTCCCACATTCCAACGCCCCCACACTCACCCTCACACTCCCACACCCACCCACACTCCCACACTCCCTCACTCCCACACTCCCACACTCCCACGCACCCCACTCCCATTCCGCTCCACCTCCCCTCCTCCCTTCCTTTCCCTCTCCTTCCTCTCCCTCCCTCACTCACTCCTTCCATCGCTCGCTCACGCGTGCCCACTCGTTCACTATAGCTGGCTGGCTCACACGCTCAATCCCTCATCCAATCCTTCATTCAATCCTTCATTCACCCACTCGTTCGTGCACTCACACATGCTTGTGTTTTCCACAGCTTCAACTTTATTTTTTGGGAGGACGTCTCCCACGAAAGCTTTTTTTTTTGCAACTTCAATTTGCAGTTTTTTAAACGAACGCTTCGTGTTCACAACTTGAAGGAAGTCGGTGCGGCATGCATGTTTGACAGGTGGCGGATTCGCGAAATCGTTTGTTTTGCAGGAAAAAACGTGCCTCGGAAGATGGACGCGGGAAGTCTGACGCGTGAGGAGTGCGAGTTGGCCCCGGCTGTGGAACTGACGGTTTAAAGGGTTTCCTGGTGCTTTCTTGCCAACGTAGTTCCTTTATCTTTTTCCAACTCGCTGCTTCCACTTCGCAGTGGGGTTACTGGGTCAATGCTGCTTTGCGTTGCTGCTGCGCACCTGGTTCTATTGTCTCTTGCAACTCGCTCCTTCCATGTCGCAGTGCGTCAATGTTGCTTTGTTGCTGCTGTTCTAGTTGGGTGGCTGCGTCAATGTTGCTCTTTTGCAGCTTTGGGCAACTCAGTGCTTGCAAATCGAAGTGGGGTTGCTGCCCCAAGGTTGCGACGATGGGTGCTGGATGATTTTTTATTTTCCAACCGAAAAATATGCTTTGGCCTTGGTGCCCTGATCTGGTTTTGGAACAGGTTTTGGACCAGAGAAGAGATGAGCTGAGAAGAGTTGAGATGAGACGAGATCAGCTGGAGTGAGCTGGGGTGAACTGAGAAGAGCTGAGATGATATGAGAAGAGTGAGAAGAGCTGAGGTGAGCTCGGATGAATTGAGAATGGCCGAGATGACCTGAAATTAGCCGAGAAGAGCTGAGAAGAGATTAGAGGGAAATCGCAACAAAAAAGACGCCAAAAGCAAGGGATGTCCAAGAGGTAAGAGGCGCGAAGAGCAAGAAATTTCAGATGACTTACACACCAAGAGATTGTGCCTGGGGTTGCTTGACATCCTGTCCTGTAGCCACATTCTACTTTGCCTTATGTGTCTTATAGTTTTGAAACTTCCGCCCCCGGCTTGCCCGGGTACTACTACTTATATGAGAACATGCAGGTTCCACCTGAGCCCCAGCAGCAACGAGAGCAGGGGCAGTATTCAGTGAGTGCTTTCACATGTGCATCCAGCAAGAGTCCTCAGCTGGTCGCTTCTAATAGTAGTGAAGCCGTCCAGCATGCTTTTGAGATTCTTTGGGGTATGAAATGTCTAGAATGTTTGTCTGCTGTTGCTTTTCTATCTTGATTGAAGTTGCTTGGCCGGGTTTGGCTTGAGGTTATTCAACACGGCTATGTGCGCGTCTGCAAGCTACCGACAGTGGCTCCTGCCCATTTGCCAGCTAGTAGTGATGGCTCAGAAATCCTTGCAGCCGGATGTCTTCAGTGTCAGCGCTGCGATCGATGCTCAGGAGTTTCTTTGGTTGGGTATGCTGCTGTGCGTGTGTGTGTGTGTGTGCGTGCGTGCGTGCGTGCGTGCGTGCGTGCGTGCGTGCGTGCGTGCGTGCGTGTGTGTGTATGTGTGTGTAACATCTAAATAGATGTAAAACTTCTCCCTTTTTCTTCCTTCTTTCCTCTCCCCTTTGCACAGGTGTGACTCTGGTTCCTGTGCCAACGAAGACGGCCAGAAGTCACAGTGATATCAAAGGGAGACGTCCCTTTGACGTACCTGCTTCAAATGAATTTTTTAATGTCAAGTTTCTGCAATGGGACGTGGCTAACCCGAGAACCACCATGCTGTTTCCAAACAACTTATTTTATATTTCAAGCAAGTGACTTAGGACTTGTGAAAGATACCCCGGGGTGGCCAAGTCCTATCTCATCATGCGTCGGACCCTCCCTGGACAAGTCCCAACCCATCAGGTGTCCGTATGAGATTAGAAACTATGTTTGATTTTTTTAGTGCGGCATGGACCGCTCGTAAAACCATGACGACATAGGAATGACTTAGGACTTGTGCCCCTCTGGTGACATACGATTTTGTGCACCAAGTCCTGTGCATGTATGTAATGTAATTTACTGTAATGTACTGTACTGTAATGTAATGTACTGTAGTGTAATGTAATGTGCTGTACTTTACTGTAATGTAATGTACTGTAGGGTAATGTAATGTACTGTAATGTAATGTAATGTAAGTATGTAGGTTCTGATGACTTAGGACTTGTGCCCATCTTGAAAAAATTGTGATTTTCATTTTCCTTTGATTTATATACAGACATTATTCTAAAGCAATTATACAAATTAAAAAATACAAATATATTTTTTGTTTTTTTCACTTTTCATTTTTCTCTGTTTTTTCCCGTTTTGTTTCCCCGTTGTGCTTCCCTATTGTGGTCTCCGTTGCACTACCCCGTCGTTGGGTCGAAGTCCTCGAGCCAACCGTTGAACAAATTGATGACTTAGGACTTGTGCCCATCTTTAAAAAAATATTTCAAAAAAGTCTGTGATTTTATTTTTTTCCTTCGATTTATATACAGACATTATTTTGAAGCAATTAAATAAATTGAATAAATATAAATATAATTTCTTTATATTTATTCTTTCTGTTTATATATATATATATTTCAACGTATTATGTATTGTGATGTAATGTATTGTATTGTAATGTAATGTAATATATGTATGTACGTTCTGATGACTTAGGACTTGTGCCCCTCTGGTGACATACGATTTTGTGCACCAAGTCCTTTGCATGTATGTCATGTAACGTACTTTACTGTAATGTAATGTACTGTAGTGTAATGAGTGTAATGTAATGTGCTGCACTTTACTGTAATGTAATGTAATGTACTGTAGTGTAATGTATTGTATATACTGTACTGTAATGTACTGTAAGTATGTAGGTCCTGATGAACTTAGGACTTGTGCCCCTTTGGTGACATACGATTTTGTGTACCAAGTCCTATGCATGTATGTACTGTAATGTACTGTACTGTAATGTAATGCAGTGTAGTGTAATGTACTGTACTGTAATGTACTGTAAGTATGTAGGTTCTGATGACTTAGGACTTGTGCCCCTCTAGTGACATACGATTTTGTGCACCAAGTCCTGTGCATGTATGTAATGTAATGTACTGTAATGTGCTGTAATGTAATGTAATGTACTGTAGTGTAATGTAATGTACTGTACTTTACTGTAAGGCACTGTAATGTACTGTAGTGTAATGTACTGTACTGTACTGTAATGCAATGTAAGTATGTAGGTTCTGATGACTTAGGACTTGTGCCCGTCTAGTGACATACGATTTTGTGCACCAAGTCCTGTGCATGTATGTAATGTAATGTACTAATGTACTGTAATGTGCTGCAATGTAATGTAATGTACTGTATTGTAATGTAATGTACTGTACTTTACTGAATTGTAGTGATGTAATGTACTGTACTGTAATGTCATGTAAGTATGTAGATTCTGATGAGTTATTAAGAGAAGATTTTTTTTTAACCCTAAAAAGTGCTTGAGTCCAATCACAACTCCAGTGACTTAGGACTTGGTGCACACAAATCACCTGGTAAGAACACCAGTGACTTAGGACTTGGTGCACAAAATCCTATGTCACTATGGTGGCCTAAGTCCTAAGTCATCAGCCCGAAATATACATGATTTTTCACGGTTGCCGCAATCTGATTTTGGATGTCATGATGGATTGTTTGACCTTTGTATTCTGGTTTTATTTACGTTCGATAATTTTGGAGCACCTTCATCGTTTTCGCGAAGGACAACCACGAGATCTACTTTAGGTCTAATTGTCTAGGCTGGTTTGCACGTTATAGGACTCAGTTCCTGATGGATCTATTCAAAGGTCCAATCTTGTCTAGTGTAATATCCATGGTGGCTCCGGCATGGTGCCATGGAGCCATTTGAGGCAACCCTGTTTAGGGTGACCGTTAACGATTCGACTACCAAATTGACATTTTTCAATCAGTAATTCGTTTAGATAAAGGGTAACAGTTGGCCTTTCTGTTTTTCACACTTTTCGAGAAGTCCTGCTGCCCCTGCGGTCCCATTCGAACCTGAGTGAACTGCGTTCCTATCAGGTGAAGCTGTTCGGAACAACCAGAAACTTCTTTCTTCTCGCTGCAGCTCAAGCTTTTGAAGTATGAAACAACCATTCAGGCAGGCACACACTTTCCAGGTGTGGTCTTTTTTCCTTTTGATGGTTTTCTGGTGAGGTTGAACATTTTGTGCACCTAATTCGTTGGAACTCGTACAGCTGTTTATGCCATTGCGGCACGACTTGACCACAGTCCCGAAGGGGAGTAACGCACGACATTTTGGATAGGCGGAACTGAGTCCTTTTTTAGGTTAATTGTTTTGTTTTTTCTACTCTTGTCACCAACTAGTCCCCCATTTGGTCCCTAATTCCTTTTTTCCCCCCGTGCTTCTCCGTAATGTGTTGTGGGGTTTAGGTGTGTGCTCTGTTTTTTGTCAGGTCCGTTTCGCCGCGTAGGTTGATTCTGGAGGTCCGTTCGTTCCCTTCCTCTCCCCTGCGCTGTTCTGGCCTTTTTCCCGTCGTCTGTGTCCGCTTTTTTCTTCCTCTTGCCTTTCAGGGTTGACCCGGCTCCGGCCGGGTGTGTGTGTGGGGAACATCTGAATAGATGTAAAACTTCTAGCTCGCTTGCTATGGTTTGGAAACTTTGCTTTGATTCTTGATTTTTTGATTTTGAACATTGTCACAGCAGGGGGCGACAGGGTCGCTGCATGGCTGTCGCCAGCGAAGCTCCATGCAGTTGACTAGGATATGGAGTCTGATCAACTCCACGTACCTGCTTCATTTCTTCGTTATGGGACGTGGCTAACCCAAGAACCACCAAGCCGGTTTCCAACAATCTGTTTACTTTCCTGTTGGCACGGTTTTCGCAATCTGATTTACTGCTGACATCGTCAGATGGAACAGTTGCATCTAGCAAGGACGTAGAAAGAATTCTTCTTCACTGTGTCTCACGCCTAGTCATTCACTATCTCCTGTCAGGTTTAACTGAAGTGTTTTTGCACGTGCGATGCATTCCACATCAGTAATTCGATAAGATGTTTCTGAGCAAGTGTGTTTCTCCCGCTGCGTACGTCAAGTTGGCAGGAACCCTTCGGGGAAAGCCTTTCTAGGCTAACAATGGACAGTAAAACGACCTCTGAATTTACACTTTTGAATTAGTAATTCGTCTAAGTAATGTGAACTGCTGGCCTTCTTTCCTGGTCTCACTCGTCGATGTCGTTGTGTTGCAACAGCTGCCCGCTGTACCAGGGACTCACCTTTTCAGAGTGACTGCATTTCCAGAGTAGCCTACGGAAAGCCGCGACAACATCCGTTTTTTCAATGATGCCCAAGAGAGTACGGAGCTCGACAATTTCACCATGACATGTGACCATGTGAAGGCTTCAGGACATTCCTGCAGGTGTGGTGATTTTTTCTTTTTATGGTCGTTGGTGAGGTTCAATTGTGCACGTAATTCAGGGGTTGAACACGTAAGCTGTCCAGAGGGTTGTGAAATGAATGCCGAGGGCCTTTGAGCCTTATCACGAATTCTGCATGCGTTGTGGATGCATCTTGTCATGTTTTAATTTTGGATTTCTACCAAACCTGACTCTTGGTGCCATGTTCCCTGGTCGCTGGCCAAATTATCCGGAGTCCATGTGGAACTACGGCTGGTCAGCTCCATCGTTTTCGTCACCTCAACCAGCAGTGCCTCCTGGACAATTTTGCGGAAGTGATATGATGAGCCAACAGTCACAAGCTCAGTCTCAAGCTCAGACTCAGGCGCAACTTGCTCATCTCAGGGAGCAAAATTCCATTTTGAATCAACAACTTGCGTCACAAGCTCAAACCCATATCCAACATCTCCAACAACTACTTCCATTCCACCAATCCACTTCACATCCACCTCAGTCTATACGCCCACGGCACCGGAACCACCAACACCGGTTGCAACTCAATCTACACCACCTGGACCCAGCGCATCCTTCAGCGCAGAAGAGATGATGCAGCAGATGAAGAACACGGTCGAATCAAGCATGCAGGCCTTTGTGGACAAGAACCAAGAGCGCAACATGAGCCATCCTCCAACTCCAGCACAACCATCAATCCCGGTCTCTCCACCCATTCCAAGTCATCCTCTTCCATCAGATGAAGTTCTACCACCACCACAACAATCCTATCGTCGCTCTCGTTCTCACTCCCATCGGCATCGTTGGGCACCGGACAAACGTCCAATCTCTGTTCCACGAAGCCCACGTCGAGGAAAATCGCCCAGACGAACACATCGCTCCTCTCGGCCACGTTCGTCACACAGGAGACGACGTTCCACTTCTAGGAACTTCTCAAGACGTCCAAGCAGAGCTACATCGGTCACATTGCGCTCAGCCTCTCCACGTCGACGAGAAGTACTACATGACAGAGATGATGATCATGTACGGGAT